GGAGTGGTGGCGCAGGGTAGAGGGTGGTCACGAGGATCGTGCCCGGTAGCGTAAGGATGAGAAGAGCAATAGCTGACCACGCGAGAGTGCGGCCAGCTCCGCTACCAAGTCTGATATGACTCTGGTAGGTCATATTGCATCCAATTCCATGTCGAAGAAATACGATATGGGGTGTGGATGGGTAAGATAAGAGAAAATCGATGTATCGGTCGGAGAAGATCGATGTATCGGTCTTTCCAGCACATAGCGAATACCAAGTCAGGTATCCGGGCAAATAGGGCGCGCGTGCCTTGAGCCATAAGGCAGCGACGCGCAGGCTATACTCCCGTTTATATATACCATCTCCCGAAGAGCTACCCTTAAAGTCTCACATGGTTCATGGCCCCAGAGGGAGCTCCAACGAGAGCTCCAATGGGAGGGTTCGCGTGGCACCACCGCGCCCAATTCGGCACACCCCCTTTCGGCACACCCCCTCACACGCCCCCTAAGGAGCTCCACCGAAGGCTCCAGTGGGAGGGTTTGCATAGCACCACCGCGCCCAATTCGGCACAGCCCCTCACACGTCTCGTGGCCCCATGGGGAGCCCCACCGAAGGCTCCAGTGGGAGGGTTTGCACGACACCACCGCACTCAATTCGGCACACCCCCTCACACGTCTCGTGGCCCCATAGGGAGCTCTACCGAAAGCGGTGGCCACATTGCGGTACTCGCAGCTGCATATGGTTGGGTCCTTCGTCAGGCTAAGTTTAAACGAGCGTGTACGGAGCTAAAGCGAGAGCTACATTTTGATATTGACCCGCCCTCCATCTGTGTAGCTGTCGCCAAATCTAAGCATCAAGGTCATAAGTGGCGAGAAAATCTCCAGCGAAACGCCCGGCCCGCCCTTTCGACCGGCCCCGGGGTGCGACAAGGAGGAGTTATCTAGAAGGGCATAAGGGTAAGGAATGGATGAGGATGAGGATGAGGATGAGGACGAGGACGAGGACGAGGATGAGGATGAGGATGAGGAGGAGGAGGAGGAGGAGGAGGAGGAGGAGGAGGAGGAGGAGGAGGAGGAGGGAGGAGAGGGAGGAGGAGGGCTCGAGGGCTCGAGGGCTCGAGGGCGGACAGCGCGGGTCGCAAGCGGCCCGACCGCGCGGCCCTGCGCTGCACGCCCCAGCGCGCGTCGGGCCGCCGAGCCAGCAGGCGCCCGCAGGCGGCCGCTCTCACAGTTCCCAGAAGGGGCCAAGTCGGGAAGCCGCGGCGCCCGCATGCGCGGCGGCGGGGGCGCTCGTCGGCGGCCTCGACGGCCCCGCGAGCACCTGCGGTCCAGCGGGCGAGGGCCACGAAGCGGCCAGCCTCGCCCTTGCCAGCCCGCCCTGGGCACAGCCTGGGTGCGGGAGCAGCGTCGCGCCGCCTCGCCCAGCTCGCCCGCGTCACGGCGTCGGCAAGAGGAGGAGGAGGAGGAACCAGTTGCGGACTGCAAATTGTGACCTGGCTATTCCCAAAAGAACACCCATGCCGCCGACTGTCAAGTTCGGCCTTGCTCAGGACTTTGGGATTTAACCCAGTTCGCGCGCGGTCTAAATCCGCCGGCCCCCTTGTGGGGCCACCAGGCTGTAGGGCGAAGGTTTTCTGCGCCAGTTGCAGTTTCCAGTTTCCAATGTGATGGCTCTACTGTCTGCTTCCTGTTAATTGCTTCTGAACGCGCGAGGGGGGGAGCCGAACAACGCCAATTTACCACGCCCCTCCTGGGTTCGCAGACTTCCTGGGGGGCCGTGGGACACGTAACATGTATAAGTTTCGCGCCCCTGAGGCCATAAACCCTGGTAAAATATTTGATATTCGCGTCCCCGAGGCAACATACCATATCAAATCACGCAATATTCGCGCCCTCGATCGAGGCCATACACCTTCGTAATTTACACCGTACTGGCGTCCCCGAAGCCATAAACCATTGTACATTACACAATAGTCGCGTCCCCGAGACCATAAGCACATGTCAATTATTGACTATTCGTGTCCCCGAAGCCATGTCCCCGAAGCCACAAACCCTTGTAAATTATTTAATGATAGCGTCCCCGAGGCTATACGACCTCGTACATGATGTAATATTCGCACCCTCGAGACCATAAACCCTCATCAATTACACAACATTCGCGTCCCCGAAGCCATACAACCTCGTAAAGTACGCAATGATTGCATCCTCGAGACCACACACCATAATACATTACGCGATGTTCGCGCCCCCGAAGACGTAAGCCATCAACCAATATACAATATTCGCGTCCCTGGGACCATAAACCCTGGTAAATTACACCGCAGTCTCGCCTTCGAGGCTGCGATCCCTCGTGCATTACTGCAGATTCTCGCCTTCGAGGCCATGACCTGTAGTAGATTACATGGTATTCGCGCCGTCGAGGCCAACACCGCCCCAAGACGGCCCAAGAAGCCTCCAGGAGAGCCCCATGACGGCCCCAGAGGGCACCAGGACGGCTCAGGAGGTATCCGAGACGGCCCAAGAACTCCCGAAGATGGCGCCAAGAGAGGTCCAAAGCGGGACCACGAACCAAAGATGTGAGCTGTCAGCCCCGCGAGGGCGAAAGAGGGCTCCAAGTGGCTGCCAAGCCGCCCCAACAGGCTTCGAAGAGGCACCCCAAGAGGGCAGCCAAAGCCACGCGATGTTACCCAACGTAGCCTCAAACAACCCCGAATCGCTGCTCCAATACATGATACGGACGAGAACTCGAGAATAACAACACGGACTTCAACAATGCGTTCGGAACCTGAGTCTGCCGCTTACCAATCGCCCTCGCAGGAGGTTGCGACATTGTTTCGCAACGGCGCAAAGGAATTCCAGCATAGTTCTGACATAGCCCATGCTGATAGACAGGGGGCTGGCGGCAGGGGGCGAAGCCCTTATTTAGTCTACCTGTGGGAATCATGGGTGTGCGGGGTTTGCCGAGGGGCCGAAACTGCTTATCAGTTACACCCCCGCACCGCCCACCAACACCAAATCGCTAAATCGGAGAGGTAAGGAAGTGGGAAGAACTTTGCCACCCCCTGCTACATGCATTTCGACTCCTACTATCGGGGACAAGAGGGTGCCGTCAACATTCGCGAGCGACGGGCACGGGGTGCGGACCCAGGCGATGCCAGTGGCCTGGGTGCCCGAACCCAAACACCTCAAACATTTCGACGGCACTCAGTGAGCTGATGCTGCGAGCAGAGTTGGGCGAGAGCAGCAGCAGGAGGGGGGGTGAGGCGGAGGTGGGGACGGCTCAGCCTCCCCTCCAGCGATTCTCTGCCGTCTCCTCGTGGCGACCAACTCCGCCTCCCGATCGACTGTCCAGTGTGGTTCTCAGCATACGCAGCCGTACGCGTCGAGCCCTTGCTTCGTGGGCCTGGACTTGGTGCCGATCTGCTTCAGAAAGTCTGTACTATAATGCAATCTCATCTGCCAATTCATCTGGGACTGTGTTGGCGTCGGAAGGGACGGGTAGGGAGGAAGCAGAAGGGGAAGGAGGGAGGGAGGAAGGGAGGAAGGAGGAGGGCGTGGATCATGCAGAAGGGGAGCAATGATGATGAGGAGGAGGAGGAGGATAACGAGGAGGAGGAGGAGAGGGAGGAGAGGGAGGTACGAAAGGGAGGAGAGGGGGAGGAGATGGAGGAGAGGGAGGAGGAGGGGGAGAGGAGAACGAGGAGGAGGGAGGAGGAGAAGGAGGAGAGGGAGATAACAGAGTGGGAAACGGGGCGTGTGAAGAGCCCCCTCCTCCTCCTCCTCGTCCTTCTGCATCTTTCTCCTCTTCTGGGCCTTCGGGCCCCCCTCGCCACTCGTCGCTGCGGTGGCTCTCGGGAGGAAAACGATGCGGACCAGGAGCAGGAGCAGGAGGAGGAGGAGGATAAGGAGGAGGAGGAAAAGGAGGAAAAGGAGGAGAAAGAGAAGAAAAAAGAAAAGGAAGGGGATGAGTAACGGGTAAGAGTAGGAGTAGGAGGGAGGAGGAGGGGGAGGAGGAGGAGAGAGGAGCGACGGGGAAGAGAAAAAGGGATGGCGAAGAGGATGGAATAGTGTATTGACTGGTTGGGCAGCTGATTGCTGCGGCTGCGGCGTGGCGGCCTGCACTCACATGAAACCGCCGTGCTGCCAAATGCACAAGTGCCTTGGCGCAGCCTTGCGATGACCTCAAGTACTCCAACGTTGCTGACAAAGGTTGTCCTATGGTGGCGGCAGGGGGAAGGTCTTTCGGAAAAGCGGGGCAACTCATCCACCTGCGCGCATCGCAGTATAGCTGCCCGACAGGCTCCGAAGCAATTGCCAGGCCATGGGGATGTCCTTGCGGACCCGAGCGAGGAGTCACTCCTCCACCTCTCCTTTTTCTCGGGCGGGTGGTGATGAGGGGTGAAGAAAATCAGCAAGAACCTTAAAAGGGCCCAAAAGGGCCCCTTAGGGTCCTTCTCTTCACCCCCCAATTCTGTTACGGCCCAGTGCCACACCACACGCCCGATGTTTCTGCACCCCCTTTGCCTTCTTCATATCCGGCGCCTCCTTGCTCCTTCCTCCCCGCTTCGCTTCTCTATCTCCTCCCTCCATCGTCTCCGCTTTCCCTGCTACATGCTCCCATCACTCCCCATCGTCTTCGTCTTCCTCCTCCTCCTCCTCCTCCTCCTCCTCCTCCTCCTCCTCCCCCTCCTCTTCATTTATCCCCACCTTCCTCCTCCCACTCCCTCCCTCCCTCCTCTTTTTCCGTCTGCCCTCCTCCCTCCACCCTTTACCACGCATTCCTTCCCTTGCGCCTCCTCCTCGTCCTCGTCTGCCCCTCTGCCTGGGAGGCAGTAGGAAGGTAGATGTTCAAGAGGCGGAGTTTGAGGAAGGGGAAAAGGAGCAGGAGGAGGGTGTGGATAACTTGGAAGACGACGAGTGAGACAACACCGCCGCCGCCGACGACGGCGGCGGTAGCGACAAGGACGACGACGCACGTAGTGGCGGTGACGGTGACGAGTCGAGCAGAATATGGGATGGGCCTTGTTCTTCACCATGTCGGCCCTGAACTCCTCCACGCTCTTGTCGTCGGACAGAAGCTTGGCCCGCGGACCCTGCGCCAAGGGACGCACCGTCGTTCGTCGTCCTCCTCGTCCTCGTCGTCCGTCATGAACGTCGTCGTCGTCGTCGTCGTCGTCCTCGTCGTCGACCCACCCCCTGGAAAACCGGGGGGGATCACAACCGGTTCGAATCCCTCCCCCAAACTCGCCGCCGGGGCCCCCGCCACCGTCCTCACCACCGCCGTCACCACTGTCCTCACCACCATCGCCCCCGCCACTGTCCCACTGTCCCCACCACTTTCCCGTCCCACCACTGTCTCCATTGTCCCCGCTGTCGCACTGCCCCCGCTGTCCCCGCAACTGTCCCCACCGCGGTCCCACTCCCCCCGCGGTCCCCGCTGTTCCCACCAATGTCCCACTGTCCCCGCTGTACCCACCACTGAAGACCGGAGTGGGAGTTCCCTGGAACCCTCCCAGGACCCCTCTTTAAAAAAACCTAGTTGCTTTGTTTTGTTTCGGGGGGTTCCCCGTGGATCCCACGGGGCGTGGCGGGAGCTTGGGCGGGTTTTGGGGGTTTCCGGGGCCCGACACTTAAAAGCAATAGTATTACATGTTGTTTGTTTCTCTCTCTCTCTCTCTATCTCTCTCTCTCTCACATATATATAATCAAAGTAACAAAAAGCAAACACCTTTCAGAACAAACACCTTTCGCTAGTTTTTCGGGGGGTCCCAAGAACGATCGGGCAAACCCCTTCAAATCGCAATACGGGCCGACCCCCGGGGAACCCCCCAACTCGGGTTCGTTTTTAATGTTTTTGTTTTGGGTGGAACCACCGGACCAAAAAAACCTAATTCGGGGGGTATCTTTGGTTATCCAAGGGGAAACCCGAAGAAACAAATCCAACTCGGGAGTTTTTCTGAGGTTTTTAGAGCCCCACAATTAAACCGAAACTATTTCAAAAAACCATCCGGGCAACCTCTCTTAACTCGTGTTTTTTTTTCTGGGTTGGTCCAGGTTTTTTGTCAGAGAAGCTTTCCGTTTTTTTTTGTTTTCCGATGGGCCCCCCCCCCCGACTCCCACCCTAACTCGGGTTTGTTCTGAGAATTTCGGGGGTACCAGGGCACCGCAAGTAAAAACTGTACTATTTCAGACCCCCCCCGGGAAACCTCCGAAACAGTCCCAACTCTGGGTTTTGTTTTCTGGAAATTTTCGGGTGTTTCTCAACGGTTTTTCCGGCAGGGGGAACCACCGAAAACATACCCAAATGTCCCTCTTTCTTTTGATGGCTTTCAAGGGTTCTGGACCCCTCCCGGGGGCCAACGCCTCTGCGCTACAAGTTTCCTCTGCGATGGGCTTGCCACCTGCGCAATGAATGAGGGCGCGGGCAGCGCATGCGTGTTCTGCGCGGCGGTAGCGAAAACAGGGCCAATGGTGCTCCACGGCCACACGCCCGCCCTTTCGCGGAACTTCCGCGCTGCAGAGCTCCAGATCAGGTCCTCCTTACTCGGGCCGGCCGCGCTGCCCAAATACATCGCCGCCCGCTTCAGCGGAAGCTGCCCCCAAGCCGGACGTGCGCCTGCCACTGCTACCTCCTGCGGGTTCCAGCGGATCCTCCCACAAAGGGATGCCCAACGTCTTCGGCAAGTTTACCGACATGCCGGAGAGATCTCCGAATTCCCGCAGAGCTTGCTCAAGTGCTGGACATTGCTTCTCACACGGCTCTGAAAACGATGCCCACGTCGTCGGCAAAGCGCGGACCGCCACGTCGGGCCCTAGCCAGCGGGGCTAGAACGCCAGCGCGGCCAGAAGATCCAACGCAGTGCAGTCGCGAAAACCAGCGGCGACAGCGGGCAGCCGTCGCGAATGCCCGAAATCATGTTGAACCCAGGGCAACGGCGGCCCCCCATGGATATGGCGCACCGTCCGTTGACTTACATGGCGTCTAAGACCCAAATTGCCTCGATCGGCATTCCACATCCTTCCAAGCATCGCCAGAGGTACCGTTGAAATCTATCAGCAGCAGCAGCAGCAGCAGCAGCAGCAGCAACATCATCCCGCGTGGCTTCTGCAGAACTGCGGGCACGGCGTGGTGTTCCAGCTCCACCACATTGGCCAGCATGAAGCCGAATTCAGGGCAAAAAGCAAGACGGTAAAACCTAGCTTTGCGCCCATCCGGGAGAAGAAGTGTCAGCTCCTTCTAACACAGGATCGCGATCGAACTGAGCCTCTCCAGCAAAAACATCGGCCCTCGCCTTGACAAAATTTCCAACAGAAGGGTTGCAGCCCTGACCCGTGCAGCCACACGGGTCTCTGCAGGATCTGGACCCTTAAGTCGGGCCATGCCTAAAGCAGCCCACGGGTCGTCGCTCTCTTCAGAATAATCGAACTTAATCAAGAACTCCGTAACCTTGTCGACAGTATCCAGGAGTTCAGCCGGCAAGCTCTTGAGCTTCGCCGCTCGCAAAATGGTGGCGAGGACGAGAGGGACGTGCTGAAATACTTGATGCTCGAACCATGTCCAAAGAATGCCAGCACGAGAATCAACACTAGGGACACATCCATCCTCGGCTGCCGTCCTCCTGATGCCCTCGTCGTCGACCTCGATGGCCTCTTGCCAGTCCAGCTCGGTGGCTGGGCCCGCGCCCACCTGCACGGTCGCCACGCCCTGCGCGACGCCGTTGCCGTTGGCCTCGGTTCGGGGGCGGCCAAGGAAGAGGCGTCCAAGAGGGGGGGGGCGCAAATCATGGCTGGCGGCCTGTGCGCGGCCCAGGGGGGGCCAGGGACGAAACAAGAAGAAGCGTCATGAAATCCAGGGAGATATCATGGCCCCCGCCATGATACCCCCCGAGGTCATCACCTTCCTCTTGGCCGTCCCCGATCGGTGGCGATGCTCTCTGGCGGAGTGGGAGCTGGCGGCAACGGCGGCCTGACCGCCGCAGACGGAGCGGGGCAGCGCCTCCGGCCACGGCCAGGAAACGCTCCGAAGAGCGAGCAGGCCGCGGGCCGCAGGAGGCGGAGGAGGCAGCGCGGAGCAGTTCTATTAGCTTATATTTTCTTTTGAATTTAAACGAAGCCAGGACGACGATACATTCGGGTGAGGATGAAACGAGTATTTGAGATACGGCGGCTCTGGAGGATGTCTCGAACGCCGTTCGGGGATCTTCTGACCCAGGTCAATCCAAACCCGGGTCAGCAGGAAACAAAACAACTGCAGTGCAGAAACAAAAACTGCAACGCAGGTCTTCGCAAACCCGGGTCAGCCAATATGCGCGGCCGCCTCGCGGCCACGAGCGGCTCGCTAACCCGAGTCAGCCAGAGGGGGTCTTCGCAGGATCCTGCAAGATCTGGTGCCCTGGCTGACCCCCGTTTGCCTTGGCCCCCGTCTCTTGAGCCTCGAGCCGTGACCTTCTCAGAGCGTTCTGGAACGCTCAGAGTGCGTTCCGGAACGCTCTGGAAGGGATTTATCCTCGTCCTAGCCCTGTGTCGATATATACTGTTCTAGTGTGTTCCATGATGGTTTGCTACGTTGGAAAGGGGTCCAGCGAAGGGTTTGGGGTGGTGAGATCGCCAGGGGTACGTACCCTGAGATCGTGGCGCTGCACTGTGACATGGGGGGTGATTGTGCCGTGTTTCAGGCCCCTAGGCCCTCACGGAACGAGGTGGCTCGAAACATGCATGAAGAAAGATGGGGTCTACGACTTTACAATGTTGCACTCTTTCCATGACGTCGGATCTGATGGCAACCCTAATGTCAACGTAAGACGAAATCAGACTGGAACAAAATCTGGCCAGGGCTACCCGGGGGTCTCTGAGATCCAACGGCTCCGAAGAACATATTGGGCGCCGCGCTCCCGCCCGACAATGCCAACCAGAGCTAACTAGGCCATGCCGTCTGTGCGACGGAGGAGATCCCACAGGAGTGGGAACTGGCCGAAGCTGGGGGAACTGGCCCAGGCTGAGATGAGAGCCCGAAGCCAGGTGGGACATGAAGGTCAGGGTCCAAAGAGACTCAAAGGATCGGGTCACGGCTGGAGCGAGTGGAAGGGCTGCTCTGAGAGGATGAGGGAGGAGGTATCTGGAGGCCTGCGGAGGCCCCTACGTAGTGAACGCGCACAAAGCCTCGACCCTGCCTCCGCATTCCTGCCCGTTCAGACAGGGCGGGGTGAAGGCCTCATTCTTGTCTTTGACCTTCTTGACGAAGTCCTTGGCTTGGTCTCGCGAACCGCACACCACGAGCGCCGCATACCTCCCCGATCCCCGGTGCGGAGGGCAAAACCACCTCAGGTGATCTTCTTCCCCCCCTCCTCCTCCTCCTCCTCCTCCTCCTCCTCCTCCTCCTCCTCCCCCTCCTCTTCCTCCTCCTCCTCCTCCTCATCATCATCATCACCATCATCATCACCACCATCACCACCACCACCACCACCACCACCACCACCACCACCACCATCATCATCATCATCATCATCATCAGCATCATCATCATCATCAGCATCAGCATCATCAGCATCAGCATCAGCATCATCATCATCATCATCATCATCCCCATCCTCTTGTCTTGTACATTACTGAGCCATTGGTACCGTGCGCGGTGCAAGCGTGTGTCGTAATTCCATGGCCCTTGCCTCCGTGATGGTAGGCGGACGTCAACGGCGGGCTTCTTGCGTTCCCGCCGGAAAAAAAAACATGTCGGACTCAGGTGGCGTGGCAAACACAAGGACCTCGGCACGCAACGGCGAGAAAAAAAACAGCGAGACAAGGAAAGTAAAGGCATCCTTCACGGGCGCGAAGTATGTGCGCCAAGGTCCTCCTCCTCCTCGTCCTCTTCCTCCTCCTCCTCCTCCTCCTCCTCCCTCTTCCCCCCTCCTCTGGCTCCTTTTCCTCCTCCTCCTCCTCCTCCTCCTCCTCCTCCTCCTTTTCCTGGCCGAAACGTTCGGGGGCGCCCGACTGGACCCCCGCCCCCGTCAACAAGGGGGACCTGTGGGCGTTGATTCTATGGCCCCGGGCCCCTAGCCGTGAACCGCGTAAGAGAATTAACGAAAGTACGCTTGGAGAAAGGCATGCAGGTGCGGCCTGGCAATGGCAGCAGGGGGAGGAGAGAAAGCGGAAGAGGGGGGCTAGGCGGGCGGCCGTCGTGGATGACGCCCTGGTGGCCGTGGAAGGCGGCGTGGTGGTGAAGTCGTAGTAGTCGGAGTGGCGATGGTGGCTGCCGGCGCTGTGGCAGTCGCGGTGCTGCCGTCGTCGAATTGCTGGGCCTCAGGCGCTAGTAGTGGCGGTGGTTGTGGTGGTCGGCGTCAGGGGTCGGTGGGGTTAAAAGTGGTGATCGCGGCTGGTGCGCTGGTGCCCGTGGTGAGAATGGCGTCAGTGGGAAAGGTGGTAGTCGTGCTGGAGGTGGTACTACTTCTGCTAGCGGTTGTCGCGCTGGGGCTGGGAGCCGCGGAAGCAGCCAGCTGTCCCTCACCGAGGGTGCGTGAGATGTCCCGCCAGATCCGACTCAGGAGCTCAGAGCGGTCGGCGTCATTACGAGAGGCTCCGTGGCTCCGAACGAAACTCACTGCCTCGTCGCACGGCCGCCCCCCGGTCTCGAATACCATCGGGGCTAGATCGAGGCCCTCCTAACGGGGTAGCGGTCGCGCTTGACCTCGACCATCTGGGCTGCTGCGAGCCCATCTCGTTCCACTCGGGCGTGCCTGCGTGGCGCGTAGGTAGAACGCGCGCAGGTCACCGCCCAATCGACGAAATTGGGTCGGCCAATGCTGGGGTCGTGCGTCTGGATGTCCAACTTTGCCTCCTGGAGGACCTTAGACCCGGGATGGCGGCGGTCCTGCGCCGGCGCCCGTTGTTCCGTTGGCGCAGCAGGACCCGTGATGCCATGATGCGTAGCTGCATGTCGGTCACGGAGGCCGTGCCGAGCATCGCTGGAAGCCCATCCCGCGCGACTTGGCATGGAACCCACGTGGGTCGAGGGCCCCTCTCCGCGCAGCGCGCCGTCTCGAAGTCGGCTCTGGCAGAGCGAACCCGCGGGGCACACGAGCGCGCGGGGCCGGCACGTGAGGCTCACCTCGAATTGGCCGTCAGGCTGCACAGGGTTCCCTCGTTGCCGCGGCTGGAGAAACGCCCCTGCGCCTACGCCGCCGCGCCCGCTGAGCGCCAGGCGGTCGTCTTCTGGGAGCTCCCACAGCAACGGTTCTCTGTTTTTTCCTGGAGACCGCCTTGCTCCACGCGTCCTGGATCTTAGCGCGGGGCTCCTGGAGACTACGCGCCCAGTCGATGGGCTGTCCGTCTGTCGCCTCCGAGGCTTGCTGCGCCTGCTGCTCGGCCTGGGCGAGCGCTCGCGCTGTTCGCGAGCGCCGCGCCCAGAACCCACCCGACCTGGCCGCGTCCAGGCGCTTGGCCACGTCGTGGAGGCAGCGCGCCCAGCTCGCGGCCTGGGCTGCTGGCGCTGTCTGGGCGGTGGACGAGATGGCGCGCCCGCCGTCGGCGAAACGCACGGTGGTTTGCGGCCTCTGGAGCTCGTCAAGCTGTCTCCCGCGAAGTATGTGTTCGAAGGCCGAGAGCGCCGCCGCGTCGAGCTGCTCTACGCAGATGCTTTGCTAATTGGCTCGAAGGTGGTGGGTGACTGCGCGAAGGTTCCCAGCAGAGTGAGGCAGGCCTCGGCGGAAAGTCTGGCTCCTTGCAGCTCTCAGAGTCGCCGAGTGAAGGTCTGCGCCCGCTGCGCTGCCGCCGCTTCTTCTGCCCCTGCGCGCGCGGCCGCCCTGTCTTCCTGCTGGTCTAACAATGGCGCTGCATTGCCCGAACGCTTTAACGCGTCTACCTTGGGTGCGCGGATAGCTTCTGGGGGGTCGTTCTCTCGGCCACATGACCGTGCTTGGGTTTTGCTCTGGTTGGCCGTCAAGCAGCGGTTGGTGAGAGCGCCACCACGAATCGCGCCGCTCCTGCCGCGCGCTCTGGGGGCGCAGAAACCCTGAAGTCGCCCAGGTAGGAAGACGCCCTGCAAGCGGGCGAGAGCTGCTAAGGAGCTCCTGGGATACCTCGGCCATGCAGCCTGCCACTGCAATCGCGGAGAAAGCGGGCGAGAACGGGCGGTTACTGTCCGCGCCCGCGGCAGCCGTGCGCGGCCGTGCCGCGTCGCCCGCGTCGCCCCAGCAGAGGCGCGTAGTGGCCCATCCCCAACAAGCAGCGCGCGGCGCGAAGAAGACTGGGCGTTTGTGTTCGGAACCCCCGAAAGATCCGGGCCCGCGGGAAATCTCGCGCGCGTTGGAGCAGTCGAATGCGAGGCGTTTGCCTCGTGGACAACTTGCGCGTCACTTCGCGCCCGGCTGACTTTCCCGCTGCGCATTGGTGCGGCCCGCGTGCCTGGCTCATCTCCCCCTTGTGAACCTCGCAGGCCGCTTTGGCCGCCAACGGCCTCAGCGCCCCCCCGCGCGCGATGTGCCGGAAACCTCCAATCTTCTTTCGAAACGCCGCCAACCGCGCTCCGAGGTGGGCCCTGGCGGGCTCCGCGCCCGGGCCCCCGCGCAAAGAAAAAAAAACGCGACTTTGGCGACTGCGTCGAGCGCCGCGCTGTCGGCGAGGGGGGTTCGCCAGGCACTTGAATCTGCCGCCAGTCGGGCCTGGCCCCGGCCGCCGCGGGCCATTGGCCAAGCTCGTCTTCGCTGCGGCTACCAGGTCACCCACTGTGGCTTGGTCTGGAAGGTCCAGGGCCGCGCCTTGGTCAGCCGGTGCGCCCGCGGAGGGGAAGAGCTGCTGGTGCTCTGCCTGGGCCCCCGCTCCCGTGGCCAGCGTGGCCGGGCTGCTGGCGCGAACCATGGCTGAGCTCACCAAGTGCCCCCCGACGAGCTGCTCCGCGGTCTTCGCGGCGGAAGATGGCCCAGGCGGCCGTCGCGCTTGCGGCGGTGCTCCGCCCGCTGCGGCGAGCGCCTCTGGGGGCCCACCCCCAGTCTCCTGCCTCCGCCGTCCTGATCCAACCCCGCGGTGTTTTTCGCCTTCTGGCCGCCGCTCTGTTTCGTCGGCTTGAACGCGACCGCTCTGTCGAAGAAGGCGAACAACTTGCCCGACCGCCGTTGGGCCCAGGCGCCCCCGCGCTCCAGGGTTTCGAAAATCGTCGCGGTCACCTGGCCCTGAGCTGGGCTAGGGCATCCGCCACCTCCGGGAGCGCATATGCGACCGTCGGCGCGACATCCTCCGAGGCGTCGTGGGGCGTGTTGCTCCGCGAGGCCAACTTCTGGGTCTGTTAAACCTCTTCCCGCTCCTCTGGAAGCCCCCCCGGGCGTCGTCGTCCAGGCCCGAGAGCGGGGCCCCCAGCGCAGCCGCCTGGAACTGTCACCCAAGTTCCACTCTGGCCCTCGTCGACGATGGCCCCTCCAATGCTCCGTTCTGGGCGGCCGGCCCGGGCTGGTCGCAGCGGCCCCGCGCCTCGTCCGGCCGGGCGGGCGTCGACGCCGCCGCGCCTTGCGCCCTTTCATGGGCCCGGGCCCCCTTCGATGCGCCGCTGGTGAAAGTGCTAGGGGCAAGCCAATGCTGGGCTGAAAGCTCGGAGCTCGCCCTTGCCAATGAGGCCTCGGCGCAGGCTCGCCCGTCAGAGGCAGTCCTGACGGGGTGACATGACATCCACCGCCCACGTCGTCGCCAAGGAGTCCCGGCCCCCTCCTCTTGGTGGTCGGTGATGCGGGCGCGGGTCTGGCGGCGGGGGGCGCTGGTAAGATCGCCGCCCGAGTCGTCAGCGCGCATGCTGCTGGGCTTAGGTTCCACGTGGCCCAGCGCGAGGGCACGACGCAATGGGCGGTCGGCGTGGAAGCCCGACCCCAGGGCCCACGCGCAGGCGCGAGCCACGGTGATCAGCCCCGGCCCGCCATGGACGCAAGCTCCGTAGCACGAGAACTCTCAAGGTGTGGCGCTCTGGCACGCCGCTGAGGTCACCATGGCGGTGTGCGCCAGCCCCTGGACGAGCGGGCCAACGAAGTCCTGGGCCAAGGCTGCGGCAGAGATGCTTCCCGCGACGCGCGGGGCGCAGGCGGCGAACATGATCAGCGCTGAGGGCGCAACGGTGAAGGCCCCGGGGATGCACTCCAAAGTCCTGCTGACGCCCGCCGGGGCCCGCGGCCATGGGGCGCGCTGCTCGGGCACGCAGCCCGGGCTTGAGGTCGTGCCCCTTGCTTCCGAGGCCTGACCTGCGCACGACCACGCGTAGGCGAGGTAGAACAGCTCTGCAAATGAGACCTAGCGCCCGTCCGGTGCGCCAGGGCACTC